AAAAAGGAAGTAGAAAATCTGAACAAACCAATTACCAACCAGTAATGAAATTGAATCAGTAATAACAAAAACACCTAACAAACAAAAGTCCAGGGTCAGATAGCTTCATAGGTGAATTCTACCAAACTTTTAAAGAAGAACGAATACCTATTCTTCTGAAACTACTCCAAAAAAAAGGGAGAGAGAGGAAAACTTCCAAATTCATTCTATGAGACCAGCATTACCCTGATACCAAAACCAGACAAAGACACCACACGAAAAACTATAGGCCAGCATCATCAGATGCAAAAATAACCAACAAAATATTAGCAAACCAAATCCAACAAGACATTAAAAGGATCATTCACCATGATCAAGTAGGATTTATTCCAAGATGCAAGGTGGTTCATATTCATAACTCAATTAAGGTGATACATAACTTTAACAAGAGGAAGGATAGAACTGTACGATCCTCTCAAAAGATGCAGTTAAAGCATCTGGCAAAATACAACATCTTTCACCGTAAAAACTCTCAACAACATAGGCATAGTAGGAACATACCTTATAAAGTTCATAAATGAACACTCCCCAGCTAACATCATCCTCAATGGTGAAAAACTGACAGCTTTTCTTCTAGGATCAGGAACAAGATAAGGGTGTTCACTCTCACCACTTTTATTCAGCATAGTGTTGGGAAGTCCGAGCTGTAGCAACCAGACAAGAAAAATAAATAAATAAATAAGAGGCATCCAAATTTTAAGAAAAGAGTAAAACTGTCACTATTTGCAGACGACATGACACTGTATATAGAAAACCAGAAAGACTGCCAAAAAAACCCAATTAGAACTCATAAATGAATTCACTAATCTTCCAGGACACAAAACTAACATACAGATATTTGTTGTGTCTCTATATGCTAATAATGAAGAAGCAGAAAGATAAATTAAGGAATCAATCTTTTTCACAATTGCACTAAATATAGGAATAAACTTAACCAAGGAGGTGAAAGACCTTTACTCTGAAAACTGTAAGGCATTGATGAAAGAAACTGAGGACAACACAAACAAATGGAAAGATATACCATGCTTGTACATTGGAAGAATATTATTAAAATGTCCATACCACCCAGAGCAATCTACAGATTTATTGCAACCCCTACCAAAACACCTATAGCATTTTCCACAGAACTAGAACATACAATCCTAAAATTTCTATGGGACCACAAAGGACCCTGAATAGCCAAAGCAATCTCGAGAGAGAACTAAGCTAGCGGTTTCACAATCCCAGATTCCAAAATATACTACAAAGCTATAATAACCAAAATAGTATGGCAATGGCACAAAAATAAACATACAGATCAATGGAACAGGATACACAGCCCAGAAATAAACCCATGCTTATATGGTCAATTAATTTATGACAAAGGAGCTGAGAATATAAAACAGGGAAAAGACAGTTGGGGAAACTGGACAGCCACATTCAAAATAACGAAATGACCACGTTCTTTTTTTTTTTTTTTTAATTTTTTTTAACGTTTATTTATTTTTGAGACAGAGAGAGACAGAGCATGAACGGGGGAGGGTCAGAGAGAGGGAGACACAGAATCTGAAACAGGCTCCAGGCTCTGAGCTGTCAGCACATAGCCCGACGCGGGGCTCGAACTCACGGACCATGAGATCATGACCTGAGCCGAAGTCGGCCACTTAACCAACTGAGCCACCCAGGCGCCCCCGAAATGACCACGTTCTTAAACCACACATAAAAATAAGCTCCAAGTGAATTACAGACTTATTTGTGAGATGTGAAACCATGATACTCCTAGAAGAAAACATAGGTACTAAGCTCTTAGACATAAGCGTTAGCAATGTATTTATGGATATGTCTCCTCAGGCAAAGGAAACAAAAGCAAGAATAAACTACTGAGACTACAGCAAAATAAAAATCACGGCAAAGGAAGCTATCAACAAAACAAAAAGGCAACCTACTGAATGGGAGAAGATATTTGCAAATGATAGATACTAATAACAGGTTAACATCCAGAATATATAAAGAACTTATACAACTCAACAGCAAAAAACTAAATAATCTGATTTTAAAATGGACAGAAGACCTAATAGACATTTTTCCAAAGATGGTCAGCATCACTCATCATCAGGGAAATGGAAATCAAAACCACAATGAGATACCACCTTACATGTGTCAGAATAGCTAGAATCAAAGACAAAAAATAATATGCTGAAAGGATGTGGAGAAAAGGGAACCTCAGGCATTCTCAGTGGGAATGTTAATTTGTGCAAACATTGTGCAGTACAGTGTAGAGGGTCCTCAAAAAAAAAATAAAAATAGAATTATCATATGATCCCATAATTCCACTACTATTTATTCAAAGAAAATGAAAACATTAATTTGAAAAGATGTATGCACTATTTTTATTGCAGCATTATTTATAATAGCAATGTGATACACACACACACACACACACACACACAGGAATTTTTTTTTAAGTTTACTTATTTTGAGAAAGAGAGACAGAGAGCTTGCATGTGCACCTAAGTGGGGGAAAGGCAGAGAGAGAGGGAGAGAATCCTAAGCAGCACAGAGCCCAATGTGGGGCTCGATCACAAACTGTGAGATCATGACCTGAGCCGAAATCAAGAGTCAGGTGCTTAAGTGACTGAGCCACCCAGGTGCCACACACACTAGAATATTACTTGGACATAAAAAAAAGTGAAATCTTGCCATTCGTGACAACATGGATGGACCTTGAGATATTATTATATGCTAAGTGAAATAAGTCAAAGACAAACACTACATAATTCCACTTATATGTGGAATCTAAAAACAAAACAAAAAATAAACAGTTTAAATACAGAGAACAAACTGGTGGTTGCTGAAAGGAGGTGGATGGGGGGTGTTGATCAAAATAGATGGAGATTAAGAGGCACAAACTTCCATATATAAAATAAATAAGGATATGAAACAGTAGTTGTGGGCAATGGTGACTGTTGTATACATTGATAGAATTGTCAAATCAGTTTCTTCTGTACCTGAAACTAATATAACACTGTATGTCAATTATGCTCCAATGATAAATTAAAAAAAAAAGAATAAAAAACAGGTTCTTACAAAATAGAGTTTGCCTTAGCAGTTCCCTCTCACAGGTATTTCCCAAGACAAAAGAAAACATATGTCCCCACCAAGACTCTACATGAGTGTTCACAGCATCTTCATTCATAACGATCCCAAACTGGAAACAACCGAACGTCCATCAACTGGTGAATGGATAAACAAACTGTAGTAAAGCCATACAATGGAACACTAGTTATTAAAAGAGGAATGAGCTACTGATAAGAGCGACAAGATGAATCTCAAAAGCATTATGCTAAATGAAAGAAGCTAAACCAAGGAAGGCTACATACAGAATCATTCCATTTACATGACATTCTAGCAAAGGCAGAACTGTAGTGATTGAAAGATCAGTGGTTTCCAGGGGCTCAAGGTGAAATGAGTGGATTGACTCCAGATGCATAATCTGGGGATGACAGAAATACTATCTAGCTTGAATGTGAAATTGACATGAATGTATACATTTGTCGAAACTCAAACTGAATACTCAAAATGGGTAGATGTAAATTATAGCTCAAGAAATCGGATTTTTTTTTCTTAAATATATAGTAGATCCTCTGAATGATGTGGGTTTTTTTTTTTAAATACTTGAGGGTACAAGCCCCTAGTCTATTAGGCTTATATATAGATATTTTTTTAATGTTTATTTATTTTGAGAAAGAGCGTGTGCACAAGTGTGTGAGGGGGCAGAGAGAGAGTCCTAGCAGGCTCTGCACTCTCAGCACAGAGCCCCACATTGGGCTCGCTCTCATGAACCTCAAGATCATGACCTGAGCTGAAATCAAGAGTCGGACGCTTAACCAACTGAGCCACCCAGGCTTTTAAAGGTATAGTGTGATGGGGCGCCTGGGTGGCTCAGTCGGTTGAGCGTCCGACTCTTGATTTCAGCTCAGGTCATGATGCCAGGGTACTGGGATCAAGCCCCGTGTCCAGCTTTGTGCTGAGCATGGAACCTATTTGGAATTCTCTCTCTCTCTCTCTCTCTCTCTGTCCCTCTACCCCACTTGCACACATGCTCTCTCTAAAATACAAAATAATAAAGACCCAGAATGACCAGTGTGATGAGGGCTCGTAGCAAAGGATGCTTCTGGGAACACACAGTAATTCAGACGTGAAGGATATGGGAGGCCCAGCAGTTACCTCCACTCCTCTACTCCTCCCCCTGTGGAAGATGAAAGACAGAGTTTTGCTCTTCTAGCTCCTTGAGCTAAGGGTGCCCCGTGACCTAGTTTCATTTCAAGGATGCCTGAGGTGACTAACGCTGGGGCTTCTGGTTGGGCTTTTGCTTTTCAGATAAAAGGAAAACTTGTTACACTGCCCTTATTCCTTTTAGATTATTTATTTTTTTTAACATTTATTCATTTTTGAGAGACAGAGAGCATGAGTGGGGGAGGGGCAGAGAGAGAGGGCAACACAGAATCCAAAGCAGGCTCCAGACTCTGAGCTGTCAGCACAGAGCCCGACGTGGGGCTCGAACTCACTGACCAACTCCCTGACCCCAAGATCATGACCTGACTCGAAGCTGGACGCTTAACAGACTGAGCCACCCAAGTGCCCCTTTCCTTTTTTAAATGGAAAAAGAGCTCTGATATGAACACCCGAAGAATGCTTCAAGAAGAAAATCCAAAGATTTTTTTTTTTTGCACCTAAATGTATTTATTTACGTGTGACTGTGAGATTACTGCAGTTTCTTCGAATACAAGGAATAATTTCTACATTTTCATGACCATTGTTTTGAGTCTGATGTCTTATTTCTCTTTAGGCTTCCTTATTTGCTTGAGGTAGACAGATTCTGTGCCAAGAACACACAAGTCATTCCAGTCAGAGTAAACGATCTCTTGACAGTAACTGATGGAGTCGGGGTGAAGGGCTACCGCTCAGGAAAGCGGAGAACTTTATACTCTGTAAGTGAGATCAGGTGATAGTCTAGGAAAATTTGGTTTTTCATAAAAACTTCCATCTAAAGTATCTTCTGGGATTCCCAATTTCTCCTCTGATATATCTGCACAGTCGTATCCTCGTTTCCGTGCTTGCTCAAATGGGAAACCTAGAGAGAAATGACAAATGTTTAGAAAGGTGTCACATGTAAGGTGTAGACTCATTCAATATGCTACTCACTATACGCCACGTAAGGTCCTTTTCCCATCCCTTCCTACCCTGCTTCAAGCAGGCACTTTTCTATCCTACTACTTAACTGAAACCATACGTGTCTCAAGTTTCTCAGTTCATCCTACTTTTCACTACCATAGTGGTCCATGGTCTACAAAAGGTTCTGCAGGACCTGGATTTGAGGTCTGATCCACTACTAAGTAGCTGTGTAATTTGGGGCAAGTTACTTAGCCTCTCAATGTCCTCATCTGTAAAACGGGGATAATAATAGCACATACGTACCTCATAATCATGAGAATTAAGTGCGATGGTGCATGTAAAAAAACTAGCGTTTAGTTAGTTTGACATTTAGCTAGTGCTCCATGATTATTAGCTCACGGTTCCAGAGAAAAGGTTCCAAACCTTCTCGTGATTTGATTTCCTCGTGCTTCTTGGAGTAATGACACACATTCTCTCCTCTTCTCCCATGCCAGCAACCACCACGCGTCATCTTCCACTGACTTCCCTCATAGTGCAAATCTCCACCACTCGATTCTATGCCCCTTCCAATGACCATGCTATCACTTTCCTTCTCTTCACAGTAATCTCTTTTAACTCAGCATTTATATTCTCTGCTTCGGTTTTTATACTTGTCATTCCTTCATATTCTTTCCTCTGCCATTGAGGACCTGCTTGCTACATATTGGGGATTTAGTATCAAAGAGACAAATCCCTGCAGTCAAGTCAGGGTAGTTACCTACAGCTGTTCTCTAGAAGGCCATCAACTCCATGAAAGCCCTCGAGCGGAAACCACCGCAGAGCATTTCTGAGGAACAGGCGAGAGGCTGGTGATGCAGGTTTGGGAGTGAGGGGGGGCCAGCAGGGCGTAAGAGTGGAAGGGTGGCCAGAGGCGGAGCCAGAAGGCCATGATGACGTCAGGGTTTTATTTCAAAAGCAGTGGAAAATTAGGAGAAGCTGCAGAAGGTCCTCGTCGTTAAAGAGCATGGTTTCTGAAGCCAGCCTGCCTCAGTTCAAATCCCAGCCATCCCAGGAACTGACTGGGTGACCCTGAGCAAGTAACTAGGTATCTCTTTGCTCATCTGTAACAGGAACCTCGTCTCACTGAGTTGTTCTGAAAATTAAACGAGTTAATCTTATAAAGCGCTTTCAGACAGCACTTCACGCGGTAATTGAAAGAGAAGATTTTGTTAAACAAATGCTTTAACTGTACTGATTTAAATCTGTAAAAGATCATTACCTATTATGAGGGGAGCACCCTGGCTGCTTACCAGTTTGGAGGCTGTTGGGAGAAGCCTGAAGGGGATGAAGGATGCTTGGACCGTGGGGGCGGCTCTGGCTCGGAAATAAGTGGGTAGGTTAAGGTGAATGACAGCTGACGCTTAGGGAGTATGTGTTACATGCGAGGCGCCATTCTAAGCTCTTCACATGTATTATCTCTTATTACCTCACAACGACCTAAGAGCTGCCACTGTTATTCTCATTTTAGAGAGGGGGAAACCGAGCTGGTAACATCCCCAGGATCATGCAGCCAGTACACTGTAGGGCCAGAAATCAAAGCCAGGCAGCCTGAATCAACACCCCACCAGTGTAACCTCTCCGCTGTACTGCCTCTCACTGGCGATCGCAGGACAGAACCCGGACCCCCAGAATGTACAACAACCGCAATTAGGCATTAGCTACGTTAGGACTAGTGATATTTCTAGGACATGAGACTAGGCCTCCTCAACACGCTATCCGCGGCAGCACAATGGCGGCAAAGAGCCTCAAGAACACTCCTAACATTTTGAGACATTTATTTCGCCAAATGAAGCTTGCTCATTAAAAATAATTATGGAAACCATGAGAGAAGCAACTTTTTAAGGGGAGGATTCATTTCTTTAAACCATTTTTCCAACCTAAATAAAACAAAATTTTCTTCTATTCCCAAATAACAATCTTACACATAAAGGTACAAATGACTTGGCAAATTCATTGGTGTCTCTGCACAGTGTAGGGTGCTGAAATGCTAGGTGCTTCGAAGCATGTCCGTGTGTGGAATGTATCGTTTTCTTCATAAGAATTTCCCATAAAGTATTACTAAAAATCACCCACTTTTTTAAAAATTTACATTCAAGTTAGTTAACATCCAGTGTAGTCTTGGCTTCAGGAGCAGAAACTGGTGATTCACCTCTTACATATGACACCCGGTGCTCATCCCGAAAAGTGCCCTCCTCGACGTCCATCACCCATCTGGCCCATCCCCCAGCCACCTCCCCTCCAGCAACCCTCAAAATCACCTACTTTTGAAGTTAGCTGAAGAGTTGCTTGTAGCAATTTCCTTCCAGTTGGCAATATACCTAAGCACATTATATGGGCATTCATTAAACTGAATCAATGTATTAATAATCAACTGATCCATTAGTACGTGTTAGACTACTTCTAAAATTCCACTTTCTCTATGAAATCTTGAACTGATGCCGACTAATTCACAGGTGCAAATGTCTAATTCTCATGACTTTTCCATGTCCAACTAACTCTCATGTATCTAAAGTAACCCCTAGAACAAGGAATTGGAGGAGGAATAAAAATGGTGCCTACCATCTACCATATTCGTGCCCTCTGAGCTCGTCCAGCACACATCATCTCATTTTATCCTGTTTCCTTCTTGCAAGACCATGTCCTCAGTTGAGGGCATACTAAGATCTTAACTTCTAAATTAAAAGTACAAACAGAAAATTCTCTGGGAGGGAAAAAGTCAGGGGAAAACAACAACAACAAACTAACAAACTTTCTCCTTGGCTCTGGATTGCCAGACTTAACGGTTTTCAGCATGTCAACGGAAATGAAAAGTGTGTGCTTTATGATCTTACTGGGACAACATTGCTACCTTTGTCGTGCCCAGTAAATATGAGCAATGACACTTAAATCAAGCACAACTTCAGGGCTGCCACATCTGTTCCCTAAACAGGTAGACAAGGCAGCCCAGGAAGAGGTAGAACGGATAAGGCTATCTGATGAGCTACAAAGAGGAGGTAAAGATGCCTTTCAAGAGGCAGGTTTCCTGAGACTTACCCTATTTCATCTTAGGCTCTGCACCCCCCTTTCCCAAGCCTCCTTGAAATCACGTAAGGAGGTGGTTGCACCCAAGAAATCAAGTAAGGAGTTGGTACCAAAAGGTGCTGAAAAGGGACCTCATAGAGCAAAAATGAGAATTCTGAATCATATAATTCAGAAAACTCTGTGATTTTTCAAGTATTTATATATTCCATGTGAATTTTTAGTTTTGCTGTTTCTGAAGTTTTGTTGTTGTTGGTATAGGAAGGTATATATTATCCAAGAGTATTTAATTAAAACAAAGTATCGTGTCTAACTTGTCTCCTTCCTGTTACTGGTACCTTTGCTCCAAGAACTTTATAGCCTTAAATGGGTGCTCCTGGGTTACTGTCACATGAAAAAGGTGCAACAAAACAGAAGGCAGTGGAAACTCCCTCCAGGATGTCTTGGTAGACAATTCAATCTGGCTTGACCTTAAATTCAGGCAAATTCAGGGTGCTTGGGGGGCTGAGTCAGCTGAGCGTGCGTTTCTTGGTTTTGGCTCAGGTCATGACCTCAGTTTCGTGAGGTCAAGCCCTGTGTCTGGCTCTGTGCTGGTTGGTGGTGCAGAGCCTGCTTGGGATTCATTCATTCATTCTCTCCCCCCACCCCCCGCCCCACCGGCTCTTGCTGTCTCTGTTTCTTTCAAAATAAATAAATAAACTTAAAAAAAACTTTAGGCCAATTCCATCCTCAGTGGTTGCTCGGATAGGAGTGCTATCAGGTGTTGGTCAATCATCCTCCTTCCTTGGGTTCATATACTGAAAGTTCTCATTCCACTTTCAAGGAACCAAGATAAAGGACCTTCAATCAATTTATTCTATGACCTAACACTCTGGGGCACAAACATATCTCATCTTTAAGCTGATCGATAACCCTGTTCTACCTGCGATTAGGACATGAATTTAGTTAATTGATAAAAATTGATAAAAATATTTTTCTCATCATGAACATACCAGCTGTAACTGATAAGAAATCTAAGTTTTACAAACAGAAGCAACAATCTAATGAGAGCATTACTATGCTGCGTATATCACAGAGCTCATCTGTCTTTCCCATGAAGATATTTTTGGAACTTTTTTTTACAGAACAAAGTGTATATGGAATCTATGCTGAATCCCTCAGAAGTCTACACTTAACATCTTAATGGCCCAGGAAAAGTCCCTGGCTAGAAAGGCCACATAACTACACGTCTTAGATATCAAAGGAGCAGCTCCAGACATGGAGACTACCCATAACACACATGGGCAAAGAGCTCTCACCAACAGGATTCACAGAATATCAGGAGACAAAGCTAGTCCAGCAGCTGACCACGTAACAGGTTATGTCAAAATTCACTTGCAGTTTTGAAAAATAGGAAGACCCTGGAAGAGGAACATCCATCTTGATAGAGAAGATGACCCTGAAGTCCAGCGGGATAAACGCTGGCAACAGTCACCGTGGCCATCCTGTGGGTGAGTTGGTGACGCTAACACAAGGACTGTTTTACATTCTAAGTGCCTGCAGCAACATATCTGTGGATACCACAGAAGGACAACAGTACTCCTCAGTGTACCTGAGTCCAGGAGTTAAGTTGACTCTGCCTATTCTTTAAAGTACATAATAACAATATTGTACTCAGTTGGTACTGTTTAATGTGCATCATAAGACGCACATGACGGTTCCCAGTGGAGGGTCCATCTGTCATACCAGGGGCTGGCACACAAGCCTTTTGGGAAGGGACTGGCTTGTACCATTCAACATCAATGTTCAACACATTTATGTCATTCTAATGCTCTATTGAAAACTGTCCACAGATTTCAGTGGCTACAAATTTTCCTGAAGGGAAATGTCAGACTCTGAAATTCTCAACAAACAAGGTGTCATTAAGACAGCTACGAACATCTAAATGACTACAAAGATCTAACAAAGAGAAGACTGTGAAGACCATGAATATGCTGTGGAAAAGGTACTTACACCTGACATCTGCCATTAGTAGCGGAAGGTCTTTGCAAGTTTGGTCTTGCCTGAGATAATCAGTAGCTTGAGCTCAGTAATGTTAATGAAATATTCCCAAATTATCATGCTGGATTCCTGGGAAACTTTTGTTGTCCAGGGCTCAATACAAAAAGTTAGAATACTGTAGCACAGCACTAGAGAAAGCCATCAAACTATACAAAAGAAAGCAAGAGAACAAGAAAGGAACAGAAAAGAACTACAAAAATGAGCAGAAAAAAATTAACAAAATGGCAATAAGTGTTTACCTATGAACAAGTACTTTAAATGAAAACTGACTAAACATTCCAATCAAAAGACAAAGGGCGAGGAAATGGATTAAAACACAAAACCTATATGCTGCCTATAAGAAATCACTTCAAACTAAAGACACATATAGACTGAAAGTGAAGGCATGGAATAATGCAAATGGAAGCAGAAAAAAAGCCAGGGTAGCAATATTTATATCAGACAAGATAGACTTTAAAACAAAGAAACAAGGGACAAAGAATGGCATTACACAATGATGAAGGGATCAATCCAACAAGATGATATAACCATTGTAAATATCTCTGCACCCAACACAGAGGCACCTAGCAAATGTTAACAGATATGAAGGGAGAAACAGACAATTATATAATAATACTAGGGGATTTTAACACCACATCTATGTCAATGGACAGACTGCCCACACGGAAAATCAATAAGAAAACAGTGGCTCTGAACAACATATTAGACCAGATGAAGCTAACAGATGTCTAGAGAAAATTCCATCCAAATGCAGAATATGTATTCTTTTCAAGTACATGCACAAAGGACATTCTCCAAGACAGATCAAATGTTAGACCACAAAGCCAGGCCAGAAAACAAGTGTTAATAAATTTACAAAGACTGAAATCACATCAAGCATCTTTTCTGACCACAACAGTATGAAACTAGAAATCAGTTAAAAAAAGAAAAAAACTGAAAAAAAAAATCACAAACACATGGAAGCTAAACAACATACTACTAAATAGCCAATGGGTCAACCAAGAAATCAGGGAGGAAATAAGAAATACACGGAAACAAATGAAAATGAAAGCACAACAGTCCAAAATCAGTGGGATGCAGCAAAGGCTGTTCTAAGAGGCAAGTTTATAGTAATGCAGGCCTAGCTCAAGAGACAAGAAAAACCTCAAACAAACAAGCTAGCTTACACCTAAGGAACCAAAAAAAAAAAAAAAAAAAAAAAAAAAAAAAAAAAAAAAAAAAAGAACAAACTAAGCCCAAAGCTAGTAAGAGGAAAAAATAATAAAGATTAGAGAGGAAATAAATAACATAGACACTAAAAGAAAAATAGAAAGGATCAATGGAACCAAGAGGTAGTTCTCTGAAAAGATCAACAAAACTGATAAACCTTTAGACTCATCAAGAAAAAAAGAGAATAAAATCAGAAATGAAGGAGAAATTACAGCAGATGCCCAAAATACAAAAGATTATAAGGGAATGTTATGTAAAATTATATGCCAACAAGTTGGACAATCTGGAAGAAATGGATACATTCCTAGAAACATACAATGTTCTAAAAGTGAATGAGGAAGGGGCGCCTGGGTGGCGCAGTCGGTTAAGCGTCCGACTTCAGCCAGGTCACGATCTCGCGGTCCATGAGTTCGAGCCCCGCGTCAGGCTCTGGGCTGATGGCTCAGAGCCTGGAGCCTGTTTCCGATTCTGTGTCTCCCTCTCTCTCTGCCCCTCCCCCATTCATGCTCTGTCTCTCTCTGTCCCAAAAATAAATAAACGTTGAAAAAAAAAATTAAAAAAAAAAATAAATAAAAGTGAATGAGGAAGAAATAGTAAAATTTGAACACGTCAATTACTAGTAATGAAAATGAATCAGTAATCAAAAACCTCTCAACAAACAAAAGTCCATGACTATACGGCTTCATATGTGAATTCTCCCAAACATTTAAAATTTTTTTAATGCTTATTTATTTTTGGAGAGATAGAGAGAGACAGAGTCAGAGCAGGGGAGGGGCAGAGACAGAGGGAGACACAGAATTTGAAGCAGGCTTCAGGCTCTGAGTTGTCAGCACAGAGCCAGACACAGGGCTTGAACCCACAAACCTGAGATCATGACCTGAGCTGAAGTCAGACGCTTGACCGACTGAGCCACCCAGGTGCCCCTACCAAACATTTAAACAAAAGTTAATACCTATTCTTCTCAAATGTTCCAAAAAATAGAAGAGAAAGGAAAACTTCCAAATTCATTCTGTGAGGCCAGTATCACCCTGATACCAGAACCAGTCAGACATGACAGAAACACAAAACCAAACGAAACTGTGGGCTAATTGACCTGATAACATAGATGCAAAAATCCTCAACAAAATATTAACAAAGTGAATTCAATAATACACTGAAAGATTAATTCACCACAAGCAAGTGGGATTTAGTCTAGGGATGCAAAAGGGGCTCAGGAGCTGCAAATCAATATGATACATCATGTTAACAAGAAGAAGAAGAAAAAACATATGATCCTCTCAATAGACGGGAAAAAAAACATCTGACAAAATACAACATCACTCATGATTAAAAAAAACCAAAACAACTCTCAAACAAGTGGGTTTAGAGGGAATATACCTCAATATAATAAAGGCTACATAGGAAAAACCCGTAGCTCACAACGGTGAAAAACTGAGAGCCTTTCTTCCAAAATCAGGAACAAGGCAAGAACGTCTACTCACCACTTGTATTGAACACAGTACTGGAAGTCCTAGCCACAACAACAAAACAAGAAATAAAAGGCATCTAAATTGGTAAGGAAGAAGTAAAACTGTCACTATTTGCAGTTGACATGATACTATATATAGAAAACCTGAAGGACGCCACCAAAAAGCTATTAGAACTCATAAATGAGTTTAGCAAAGTTGCAGAATGCAAAATTAATATAATACAGAAATCTGTTGCATTTCTAAGCACTCATAATGAAGTAGCAGAAAGAAAAATTAAGAAAACAATTCCATGTACAACTGCACCAAAAAGAATAAAATACCTAGGAAAAAACTTAACCAAGGTGGTGAAAGACCCATACTCTGAAAACGGTAAGACACAGATGAAAGCAAATGAACACAACACAAAGAGAAAGATACACTGTGCTCGCACTTTAGAAGATTAATGTTGCTAAAATGTTCATACTACCCAAAGCAATATACAGATTTAATTGCAATCCCTATCAAAATACCAAGAGCATTACTCACAGAACAAACCATATAATCCTACAAGTCATATGGAAACACAAAAGACCCCAAATAGCCAAAGCAATCTTGAAAAAGAACAAAGCTGGAGGTATCACAATCCGAGATCTCAAAATACACTACACAAAGCTATAGTAATTAAAACAGTTTGGTACTGGCACAAAAACAGACATGTAAATCAGTGGAATAGGATACAGAGCCAGAAATAAATCCATGCTTATATGATCAAGTAGTCTATGACAAAGGAGGCAAGAATATACAATATTCTCTTCAATAAATAGCGCTGGTTAAACTGGACAGCTACATGCAAAAGAACGAAGCTGGACTACTTTCTCAAACCACACAGAAAAATAAACTCAAAATGATTACAGACCTAAATGTGAGACCTAAAACCATAAATCTCCTAGGAAAAAAAAAATGTAGGCAGTTATTTCTCAATATTGGCCTTACAAACATTTTTCTAGCTATGTCTCCTCAGGCAAAGAACACAAAACCAACAATAAACTACTGGGATTACACCAAAATAAAAAGTTTTTACAAAGCAAAGTAAACTGTAAACAAAATGAAAAGGCAACCTACTGAATGGGAGATATTTACAGATGAAATATTCAATAGGGGGTTAATATCCAAAACATATAAAGAGCTTAACAACTCAACAAACACACAAAAAACAAAGAATTCAAAATGGGCAGAAGACACATGAATAAACATTTTTTTTTCAAAGAAGACATACAGACGGCCAACAAATTTATGAAGATGCTCAACATCACTAATCATCAGGCAAATGCAAATTAAACCCACAATGAGATATCACCCTCTACTTGTCAAAGTGCCTAGAATCAAAAAGACAAGAAACAGTAACCATTGGTGAGGATGTGGAGAAAAGGAAACCCTCATGCACTGTTGATGGGAATGTAAATTGGTGCACTACAGTGGAAAATATTACAGATGTTCCTAAAAATTAAAAATAGAAATTCCATTTGATCCAGTAATTTCACTACTGGGTATTTACCAAAAGAAAAAAAAATACGGATTTGTAAAGATATATATGTTTACTGCAACATTATTTACAGTAGCCACAAAATGGAAGCAACCCAAGTGTCCACTGATGGATGAATGGATATTTAGTGGAATATTACTCAGCCATAAAGAAAGAATGAGATCTTGACATATGTGAAAATATGGAGGAACCTAGAAGATATAGTGCTAGGTGAAATAAGTTACATGGAGAAAGACAAGATTTCATAAGATTTCACTTTGTGTGGTATCTAAGAAAAAAAATAAATGAATAAACAAAAAATAGAACTAGTGGTTGTCAAAGGGGAGGTGGGTGGAGGGATGGGTGAAATAGATAAAGGGGATCATGAGGTACACACTTCGAGTTACAAAATAAGTAAGTCACAGATGTGAAAAGTACAGCATCTGGAATACAGTTAATAATGTTGTAGTAAAGTTGTATGGTGACAGATGGGGAGTGCACTTCATGTGGTGAGCACCGAGCTATCTATAGAATTGCTGAATCACTATGTTATAGACCTAAAACTCATATAACATTGTAAGTTGACTACACTTCAATTAAAAAAAAGAACACCTAGGGGTGAGTGGGTGGCTCAGCTGGTTAAGCTTCCGACTCTGGCTCACGTCACGATCTCGTGGTTTGCAAGCTCGAGCCCGGCATCAGGCTGTCTGTAGTTAGAGCAGAGCCTGCTTTGGATCCTGTGTCCCTCTCTCCCTCTGCTCCTCCCCCTCTCACACTCTCTTTCTCTCTCAAAAATAAACATAAAAAAAAAAAAAGAACACCTAAGTCTAATTTTCTTTTTCTACTTTTACATCATCTTTTTAAATTTTTTTTTTCAACGTTTATTTATTTTTGGGACAGAGAGAGACAGAGCATGAACGGGGGAGGGTCAGAGAGAGGGGGAGACACAGAATGGGAAACAGGCTCCAGGCTCTGAGCCATCAGCCCAGAGCCCGACGCGGGGCTCGAACTCACGGACCGCGAGATCGTGACCTGGCTGAAGTCGGATGCTTAACCGACTGCGCCACCCAGGCGCCCCTACATCATCTTTTTAAATATTCTTCCTTGATTTCTTCTTTTTTCTAGACAATACTTTTTTTTTTTTTAATAAATGCTTTTCCATCCCTTCACTTTTTTTTTTTTTTTTCAATGTTTATTTATTTTTGGGACAGAGAGAGACAGAGCATGAACGGGGGAGGGGCAGTGAGAGAGGGAGACACAGAATCGGAAACAGGCTCCAGGCTCTGAGCCATCAGCCCGGAGCCGACGCGGGGCTCGAACTCACGGACCGCGAGATCGTGACCTGGCTGAAGTCGGACGCTTAACCGACTGCGCCACCCAGGCGCCCCGACAATACTCTTTTTTTAAGTAAATATTACATTTGTGGGTCCAAGATTCAAGACGGGAGTGGGAAACAGAAAAATATATGAGGCCTGCCCTGCTCCCCAACAAAAGCAGCATGTATTTACTCATCAAAGTTCAGCGTGTTTGTCCAGTTGAGCACTTCATCCACCTCCCATTCCATCACCGAATCTATTCCACCGATTTCAACAGCTCTCATTAGCCCCTTCGTTGCTGTGTGGATTAAACCTAGAGTTTTAGCATTTGTTGACCTGGCCTCTAGGCTTCCTGTATAGTACCTAAACAGGGGAAGGGAAGGGAGATATAAACCTTGTCAGGTGATTACTAGTAGACGCAGCTAACAGATGTGTTGTTATTGCAAAACTGTTTACATATTTAAACCAAGTTCTCACCCTATTTAACTCAAATACATTCAGACCAGGTTCTGTGTGATAGGATGTTTGGGAAAAAATGAAACAAAACAACTTAGCCAACCGCACTAAACAGTGAGGCCTCATTTCAAAACCCACCCCTCAGTACATTGGGCTGTTATGATATAATGAAAAAGCAAGTTATTAAATCACTGGGATCATAGGATTATAGAGTCAAAGGATCTTGGGAACCAAATAACTAGTCCTCTTGTCTTATAGGAGAGAAATTAAGTCCTGGAAGAGTTGACTGACTTTGATGAGGTCACATGGCTAATGGCGGGTAAGAAGAGGAAAGGGGAGGGGAGGAGGAAAGAGAAAGGGAGGGAGAGGCAAAGGGAAGACAAGACGGTAACATCTTTTTTGTGTCAGGTACTTTTCATACATCATCGTGTTTAATTCACTTTAAAAAGACAAAGCCGTTTGTGACAGCTATTTTTATTTCCATTTTATGGATGAGGAAGTCAAAAGCTGGAGAAGTTAAATTCTTCAAGATCATGTGCATAGTAAATAGATGCCAGAGCCAGTGTTTGAATTTGACTCCAAGTCCAGACTTCTTGGGCAGCACTCTTCTGTCTTACGGTAGCCTGAGCACATGAATGAATGCATCCACAAAACGTGAACTGAGTGCGTAGAGACAAGTTAGCATTCCTCACAAAAAATATTAGAAAGGTGCATTTTTCTTTTGGTTTTTCATTTTAAGATCTACATTTGTATTCCATTTTTTTTTAATTTTTTTTTTTTTAACATTTATTTATTTTTGGGACAGAGAGAGACAGAGCATGAACGGGGGAGGGGCAGAGAGAGAGGGAGACACAGAATGGGAAACAGGCTCCAGGCTCTGAGCCATCAGCCCAGAGCCCGACGCGGGGCTCGAACTCACGGACCGCGAGATCGTGACCTGGCTGAAGTCGGACGCTTAACCGACTGCGCCACCCAGGCGCCCCTGTATTCCATTTTTAAAGTTAACTTACTTTGAAATTGTTTTCACTTATTAAGTCAACATTGATTAGGAAGTGGCATGGTGGGAGTGCAGAGCTAGGTAGGACTCCGATATCCAACTATCTGGCTTTGAGTCTTGCTTCTGTGACTTACTAGCTCTATGACTTTTGCCAAATAACCTAGTCTTTCTGGGCCTCAGATTACCTTAAAATGGTAATCACAACACCCCTCTTCTTAGCATTGTTGAGAGGTTAAGTCCCTATAAAGCATTCAGAATGATGACTAGCACATAGTAAGCATTCAACAAAAGAAGGCTTACCAACTCCTGGATGGCAAGGGGTAGGGCAGTGACAAGATATGTCTCTGCCCTCATGAACTTTCTGCTTTCTCAAACTTTTTTTTTTTAATTTTTTTTTTCAACGTTTATTTATTTTTGGGACAGAGAGAGACAGAGCATGAACGGGCGAGGGGCAGAGAGAGAGGGAGACACAGAATCGGAAACAGGCTCCAGGCTCTGAGCCATCAGCCCAGAGCCCGACGCGGGGCTCGAACTCACGGACCGCGAGATCGTGACCTGGCTGAAGTCGGACGCTTAACCGACTGCGCCACCCAGGCGCCCCTGCTTTCTCAAACTTTAAATAGATAATGATCCATGGGAGCTAATTTGATAAAAGCAGGAACATGCCTCTTGATTTATATTGATTAGTAAGAGCACAAATTCTAAGAAAGTATGAATTCACAGCTTTTCTGCCACCGCCATTTGCAAAGCACTGTGTACAGAGGTGGGATTCCTTTCTCGAGCCTGCATTCTTCTACCCAAATTCCCTGAACATAATAGGCACTCAAAAAAAGTAGGTACCGAATGAATGAATGAATGAATGAATGATGGTACCCAATGGATGGCCTAGGTTTATGAACTAGTGTTCATGCCACAACAAAAATGAATTTAGAAAGCAGAAACTTCTGGAAGGCTAAGAGTGAGCACATTTTTTATGACTTCCTCCACAATTTACCTTTGCAAATATACACGACATTAGATTTAGAAACCTGGACGATATTTGTTTTTCCTTTGACAACAGTGATTTATGACAGTTCAGTTACCTATTTTTGCTCTCATCAAGGATATATAGAAAGGTGATTTGTTTTAAAGAGAATTATAATACTTATTCCAATAATTTAATTCTGTTTTAAACTCTTCAAATATTAGTCACTATTTATACTTAAGTGGGCTATAATAGTAATCAAACAAAAGACTAGCAAGTAGAATACAAATAGTGACCAGAATGAACACTACTTTATAACAATCATACCTTGTCTTATAATAAATGAGTGATATTTAAAACAACAATATAAACTTTGGCTTTACAGGTAATGTTGCAATATATCCAGTTTTAAATGATCTACTCTTTCTATGATAGAAAACTGAAAGAGAGAAAACATTACAAAAATATTTTTTCTGAATATACCAACAGGGAAAGAAGTTAAAATGCAAAATACCTAGTAAGAACTGAAGTGGTTTTTTTAAATATTTACTTATTTTGAGAGAGAGTGGGAGGGAGAAGGAAAAAGTACGCAAGCACCAGCAGAGAGGGACAGAGACAGAGAGAGAGGCAGAGAGAGAATTCCAAGCAGGCTCTGTGCTGTCAGCACAGAGCCCAAAACAGGGCTTAATCCCTTGAACATTTCTTCTCCATCCCCTGCAACCTTACAAAAAGGAAACATTACAACATCCAGTTATAAGGATTCACTCACTCACTCACTCACTCACTCACTCACTCACTCACTCATTGACTCATTCAAGAAGCAACACATATTCATTAAGCATCTACTAGGTCTAATGAAGCTGTCCTTTCGGAGATCCTAATGGAGGCGGCAGACAAACATACAGATATTTGCAGAAGTGTGACAAATGAGTATGTAAGACATCTATGAGGGCATGCCAAAAAAAAGTGCCCGTGCCTAGCTAAGTTAGGGAAGGCATCTCCTAGCTAAGAGGTATGTGAGCCAAGTATCAAAGATGAAGATCTTGTTGCCATGTAACTGAGCCAGAGAAGAGCAACCTAGGGAGAGGGAGCATCACGTGGGGATAGCTAAGGGTGAGTCCCTGGCATGTCTCAGGTAAGGAGGTGATTTGTGCTTTGGAAACATCACTTCAGTATTTCTGCAGGGATGGGGAGAAGATTAGAGAGGAAGAAGCCAATCAGAAGGACTCTGCAGATGCAGGAGAGAGGAGAACAATGAGAAGATGCCACAGGAAGGGAGAAAAATGCCAGTTTTGGGAGATTCTTTGGAGGTAGAACAGGACTTTATGACAGATTACACATGGGGGCTGATGAAAGGTAAGAAGTCAAGCATAACCTCTACTTTTCTGGCTTGGATGACTGGGTAAACAAATGATGGTGTCATAAACCGAGGGCGAGAGGAATGCTGAAAAGAAACAACTTTTATGATGAGGAATGTAAGAAATTCAGCTTAAGACCTGTTGAATCTGAGCTGGGAATGTCCATGTAATTAGAAAAACAGAGCTCAAGGGCACCCGGGTGGCTCAGTCGGGTAAGCATCTGACTTCGGCTCAGGTCATAATCTTGCAATTCACAAGTTTGAACCCCGTTGTCGGGCTCTGTGCTGACAGCTCAGAGCCTGGAGCCTGCTTTGGATTCTGTGTCTCCCTCTCGTTCTGCCCCTCCCCCGCTCATGTTCTGTCTCTCTCTCTCTCTCAAAAATAAACATTAAAAAAAATTAAAAAAAAAAAAAAGAAAAACAGAGCTCACTTATGGATGAGGACTGTTTTGAGAGTAAATAAACAGAGGAAAGAAAAAAAGAAATAAGACAGATTAGCATCCATGTGCAACGACTTATTACCAGGTGTGTGTCTGCTGGTGCTTGGCCTGATCTTCAGCAAATCACACTGCCATTCTGTCAAAGCCAGCTGTTTCTAAGCGATGGCACATATGGTGAGTGTATTTTGTTGTTCTCAGCCTATTACCACACTTCTTTTGCTGCAAATGGGCCCCCTGGGTAGAGGCAATGTTGTATGGAATAAAATGATGATGGGTAAGGCTTCTATAATACATGGTATTGCTGACAGAAGTAACGCAAGCTGAGAAAGAAAATACACATCCAGAATATCTATCACTGTGCATATAAAGGGATGCCACCTCTATATGGGAAGGGTCCAATATCATCAGCCTGCCGCCAGGCAGCCAGCACATCCCATTGCTGGAGGCAAAGCAACGGCCTTTGCTGTACAGTTAGCTGTGACTATAGAGCCAGAACAGACTCCGTGAGGAAAAGACCATGTTTATGAGTCTATCTGTAGCCTTGATCTTGATACCCATGACCACTTTGTACATGGCTCCAGTGAGCAACCAGGTGAAAAAAACGACATCCACGGGATGGATCATCTTGTCCATCTGAATACTTACGGCTTTCTGCTTCATAAACCCTTTGGAGGGCATTCACAAGGACACAAGTATACTCTATGCCCATTTTGAGTACACATGTCCCCACACCCAATCACCACTTTTCCAATTTAATTCCAAGTACCCAATTATGTGAGAAGTTATTAGCCACTGCCCACAGTCAATAAGATCCCTGTCTCAAGCTATTTCACCTTCCTACATGAAGTGTAAAACCAGTTGGGCTCACTAGGAGGATACCCTTGGCCATTTTCTGGGCCTATTGAGGGGTTGTAATCTAGTGACCGTCCACGTTTGGATGTTGCCAGAATCCTGCGCAGATCCATGGGGAATGAGACCTAATGTAGTCTCTCTCTGTTAGCTCGTCACAGGGGACTCCCTACGAAGCCAAAGGCATGGACATGAAGCAGAGCCAGTGAACATAAGCAGGGCTGAAGGAACCTGGGCACTGGCTCATACAGCTTACAGAGCTCTCTGGACCTTCTCAGACCCATTCTTTTCTATCCTGCA